ATTTCACCGATTGAGAAATGACCTAGGTCATTTCAAAATTCCAGAATGACCTAGGGCAATTCGGAATCGACCTAAATGACTCAGAACATCACTACTATTCACTAGTCCATTCTCCATATAAGCTACAAATATAGGAAATCAGGAGATAAGTCATAAGGAAGGATTATAAACTCCAGGAATTTTGTCACACTACATATCAAACCTAACATGCCACTTTCAACATGAACCTTAAACGATAATTACACAAAGCCGGTTTTTTTTTTGAAGTGACTGACTTGTGTTTCAATATGTATAAAGTATATAAGGTTATATTAAATTTCTAAAGTTACAGGAACATAAAATACAGTATATAGTTACCATATGACACAACCATAACGATATGTTACAACAATAGTAAATATGTATATTGCGACGTGCCGCAATTTAAAATGAAAAGAAAGGTTGCAGATATGTTTATATTATTTCTTGATTTGGAATAAAATATGGTGTCTTATCACGTTATGGGACATATGATTTACTATGTACCATAATGTAGTTTTCAAGGCATCCCATATCATTTCAGTTATTCTCTATTTAAAGGTATCCGATCGACATAAGTATAAATAAAAATCATCAAACTTAAGAAAAAAAGATTCACAAAAGTCCTAGCATTATGTAAAAACCAAGAATAGATCTTTAACATTATTTATGGCTGTCACAATCATCAACGAGACAATCGTGCCTATAAATATTGTAGCTATTCACAATTATTTTGTATGTCAATTACAGCAAATATATGTGTCTTAGGTATGGAGAATCATACACATTTAGTTGCAACCGGTATGTTAAAAATTGAATGTGATTTTATTATAATTTTTAATGTTTATGGTAATTGATTTATTGGACATATAGTGCGCCAACAAGGTTTTTTATATGGCAGTATAGTGGCCCTAATTCAGAGATCTCTGATAGAACACTTCAAATAATGTGTGCAACACGCAGTTTTATCAGCGCTATTAGCATGGGTTTAGGCGAAGTTAAACACGCATTTGCAGAACAATTCTTTGATATAGCAGCTATCACAATTCAAAATGCTATTATGCATCAATTACTTGACCATGTAATTATGGAAATAGAGGGTTATGCATTTACAACAATTGCTAATAGATTTACAGATAAAATATTCATTGATAGGCGAACTGGTCACGGACAGATGGAAACTATGTGGGTATTTAATTCGGTATCCAGGACTATTTATGTAAAAGATGGACCAAGACTTTATTTGAGTCAGTATTATAAAGAATTAGTTGATGGTAAATTTAATTTGGAACTTTACTAAGTAATATGAAATTTTAAATTACAAAATTAACACAGTCAGGCTCTCAATAGTCACCCTTCTCTATATCATATTAAAATTTCTTTATAGGTTATGTCTAGTTTAAAACATACATTATTTATTCATTTTTGAAAAAGTATTGCGTTCCTGACTGTGATAACAGAGTATTAAGCTATTTCAATTTTATATATTGACTATTTATATAATTTTTATTATTCATTTTATTGATTTTTTTTTTTTTTTTTTGTAAATACATTTCTGGGAATATTAAGAAAATTTAAATATAGTTATCTATTTATTTTTTAATTGATTTTTCTTAATTTTTACCTTGATATTATTACATAACCGAGACTTTTAACACTGATTCAATTTATAACAAATATATGATAGGCATATTTAGTGTGCAAACAAACGTGCAAGGTTTATAATCTAAGTGCAGTATTTACATTGTAATCATATAATTTGTAGCAAAAAGCTTGTACCTGGAACGGAGTGTAACGACGCGTATGGTTACCTGAGAAGTGAAATGGTGTGAACAAATACGGGCCTTTGATTGGTCGTATTTCACATGACATTGTGGTCGATTTTGTATGTGCAAAAACAGACCCTCGCATAAGTTCGGAACCAATAAAATTGTATGATCTCTGTAATAACAACAATGGCGAAAAACCAAGATGCCATAGCTAGCAGAGGTCTAGTTCTAATAGGGTTGTCAAACTACGTAATTTTGTGAAATTTTTCAGTAACATGGTTTTTATGTAATTTGTAAGAAACGTGATCATTAGGGATGTAAAATTTCAGTAATTTTACGTAATTTTGCGTAACTTTGTGTAATATTCGGTAAATTGAAATTTCATGTAATTGTAATTTTAATAATATGATATTGCGTAATATTGATCAGGAGAATTGACATGATTGGTCGATCATATGTATATATCGGTTAGATCCGTTAAGTTTATTGACTAACAATAATGCTGGTCAAATTCTATAACGCTAGTACTTTGTATATTACATTACATGAAATCTAATTTTCTGAAATTTACGTAAAATTATATGTAATATAAAAATGTAATTTATGTAACACATCCCTAACAGAATTACGAATTAATTCTCCAAAATTATGTTACCAGAGTTATGAATTATTTTATCAACATTATATTACTAGAATTACGAATTAATTCTTGTCTCTGTACATGTTCTATGTTTTATTTTCTTTAAGTCTTCTTAGTAACAGGTTTCTTCCTATTCATTTGTATATTCTTTGTTCTTTTGATTCTGGAAATTAATTGCTGACTAAATAATAATGATAACTGGTGCAATCGTAAATGAAGATTATATGTTATATATAAATTTTCCAGACAAATTTGTCTGGAAAACAGCATGTTACATTTTTTTTAAAATAAATGTTAAAGATTGATGTCTATTTTGATAGATGTTTTGATGTTTTTTTAAATCTTTAAGCAAAGATACTTTGACAACTATCTAACTAAATTTGATAAACCTTTTTTTATTTGAATTTTATAAGTATATAGAATTCTAATAAAAAAAATTTCATCAAATTTGGTCAGATGATTGTCAAGATTTTCCCTAAATTAATCTTTCATGTGGATTAAATCTAAAATTCAGGTTATTTTCATTATTTTCTCACAAATTTTTCTCATAATACCTTTGTTTTTTTTTTCTTATATATTTAAAAAAATTTAGGTATATAATATTTATCTTTTAACTCCTTATTTTTGTAAATTACAATGTTTAAAGTAACCAATTCTATTGGTATCAAATTGTATGTTTTTAAAGAAAATAAGTTTGAAGACAAAGTGTGTTATAAACTCATTTTGTTGGATATGGGAGTAAACAAATCAAAGTAAGAATTTATTTTTTTACTGATATTTAATCATTATGCATCTGAAATTATGCTGTCACTAGAATAATAGAGTGACAAAGAACTGGAAGCACATCAGGTCATCATCCAAATCTTGCAACTTAGGACTCATAATCTTTATTTGAAAATAAGAGTTTCCTACCAACTATCAAGTAAAATATGCATAAAAAAATTATCTTAAAAAGTGGAAGATTACAGAACTTTCTGTTTACAACATATTCAAATGATTGTTTTGTAACAAGGTACTCATTACTTGAAATATAAGTAAATTTAAGAATACCTTTTTTTTTAGAAGGTTTACTAATAAATAGATTCTTTTTAACATCTGGTTCATTGTTTGACCTATTTATGTTCAATAAAAAAATCAGAACATAAAGGTGTCATAACTTGATTATTTATCATTATACATACATTTTGTTGTTAATAATATCAGAATGTTTTATAAAGAACATGAAAATTAAATATGATTAGTAAAATAGTTTAATTATGAGAAATAAATGTACTAAAAAGCAGAAAGAAAAAGTTATCATAAAAAAACAAAAACATAATATAAATATTTTTCCTAAACAAAATAATACACTTGATAATTTTGTTGACATTGAAAAAATATTCAATAAGGATAAAGTAAAAAAGATATAAGATAATTTAGATCCTGAAATTAAAGTACTTCTCATTGATGAGTTCAATCAGATGTATGAAGATTGAATAAATTTGTTAAAAAATGAATTAACAAGTTTGTATTATCTAAACATCAAAAAACAAATTATCAATATAGAAAATAAAGGTAAAGAAATACTTCTACCAAGAAAGATTAGATTTAGATATTTTAAAACCCTATCAAGTGATATTTCAGTAATAATTGTTGGTCAAGATTCTTATCTAAATAATGCAGATGGTTTGGCATTTAGTTTAAAAATTATTAAGCCTTCACTCAAAAAAATATTTAATCTATTGGAATGAGTTCTAAAAGATAAAAATTGGATTAGGCTTAAATCTGGTTCTCTAGAAAAATAGTCAAAAAACATATTGTTGATAAATTTGATTTTAATAGTTGAAAAAGAAAAGCCAAGATTACATAAAAATATTAGTTGACAGAAGTTTATAGACAAAGTTATAAAATTAGTTGGTAATAATTCAAACACTATAACATTTTTATGAGTAAATTTGTAAAAGAAAAAGAAAATCTTCCCAAATATGGATTTGTTATTAAGTCTGATCATCCATTATTATTAAATATACATAATAGATCTTTTGATAATTCTATATGTTTTTCTTGTACAAATGAATATCTTAGAAACAAGAAAATTATGATTGATTGAAATTTGTAACATGTACTTTTATTTTTAGTTATACATCTCTGTACTATAATAAATTTATTAAATAAAGTTATTTTGTGTTTTATTTCATTAATTTTAACAAAATCAAAATAAATAAAAAGTCTCAAGACTTTATCATCACTGCACATTCATGCTTGTATTGTCATTTTAATTTAATATGTGATAACTCATATAAAGATATAATACTCAAGACTGTCTATATGAATATAAACATAAAAGTATATTATTTTATATTGTTATACATGATGTAATACTTAGTTACTGTACCAGTTACTGTGCTAATTACTGTGTCAGTTACTGTGCCAATTACTGTGCTAATTAGTTGCTTAGTTGCTTAGTCACTTAGTTGTTCAGTCACTTAGTCACTTAGTCACTTAGTCATTTTTTATTTAGTTATTTAGTCACTTAGTTGCTTAAATACTTAGTTGCTTAGTTACTTAGTCGCTTAGTTACTTTGTTGCTTAAACTCAAAAATATATAAACTCTGCTAAATTCTCCAAGTAACAGCAGATACAAACTACTTTCCTCTTGCCTTTAATTTAGTATTTTTCTTATAAAAGGATTTCTTAGATACAGAAGTCTAACAGATAGCCTCTTTATTCTTATTAATAAAAGTATATAACATTTTCTCTCTAGGGTAATTTCTATAGTCAAGGCTTGTTATTTTTGTTTAAAGTATAACCTATTATCTCTTGTTTTACTGAACTGCCTCAGAGAGAATGGTATAGTTTCTTACAAACTAAAAAATTATACTTATCTCTTGGACACTGCTATAAATCTAAAAAAGGATTTCTGTAGCTGTATTATTGTTATAGTACTGCTGTTAAGTTGGCCATGGTACTGTAACAATAAGGAAAAAGGGCACAAGAACAACTAGGAGATCTTAAAAGAAATAACTAAAACTTTGAGAAGCCAATGAGCAGCCTCTGATAAATTTGAAAAAAGAACTTGAACTTATGAAAGACAATGTGTTTATGCCAGAAAGAAGACCTTAATATAAGAAGGACCCATCAATCATCAATACTCTGACTTTGTATAACATAGCTGATGATATTTTGTCAATGCCTGCAAATGTGACCATAGGTCAAATTCTCCAGTACTCAAACTAGAGATGAAACCTAGTGAAAATTTTGTGTAGATTCCTACCTTTAATTTAAGAAGCCAATTATATCAAATTTGATGTTAATAAATGAACTGCTGCTGTCTATTGCTATATGAGGATAAGAGGAAATCCAGTTGTAGTTGTACTCAATTCTGAAGCCACTGTATGCATAATAATAAAAAAGTTAGTTGATAAACTAGGTTTAAAAATTTAAGAGAAGTTCTCTACCATAGTCATTATTGTAATTGGTACCAAAACTCATGCTTTGGGAAAAATCAACAATGTAAAGATCATTCTTCAAGATGTAGTGATACCTAGCATTCTTAAAGATGTAGTGATACCCAGACCCTTCAAGTAATTGAATCAATGAAAGAAACCCTGTTTTTAGAAACTGAATGGTTCTTAAAAGCACAAGCCTAGTTGTACTTTAACAAAAGGCAGTTCTACTTGAGGTATTGTAGTTAAGTAGTTGAAGTTCTGATATCTTATTCTACAATAAAAATCTTTAAGATCCAAATTAAGAAAATAATAAGAGTGAAAATAGAAAAACATTTATAAATTCATCTATGAAGATAAGAACCTACTAGAGACAGAAGGTTATTATACAGAAGAGTTAGTAGTTGAAGAAATAGGATTATACAATAATTCTTGGAAAGATGTCAAAAGTTTAGCTATCTACTTAACTGCTATAGAAAACATCTTTACACAGGCCCAGAACCTTCAAAGCATAGCATTAGTGATTATTTGGAAGAATTTGCCCAAGTAAAAGGATTGGATAACTGACAGTGAAAACAACCTTGAGAATTTTTTTATTAAGAAAAAGGCCTTTTTATGCAAGATACAAAAAAGCTGTGAGAAACCTTAGTATTAACTCACATGATTAATACCAGAAATGCCAAACTGATTAAGCAGAACTCATACTGTATTGTCTTCAATGAAAATGAATTTATCAAAAAGGAGTTAAAAAATATGGAGAAAAAAGTATTAATTAAACAATCTAATAGTCTCTGGATCTTTCTTGTAATGGTAGTATCCAAGAAGAGTGAGAAAATTGAAACTCTGTATCTATTACTGCTAGTTGAATGCTATTTAAAAAAAGAACATCTATCCTTTTTCACAAATCAATAATCTACTAGAGAAATTCTAAAATGCCAGATGGTTTTCAAGTCTAAATTTGAAAAGTGAATACTGGCAAGTTAGAATAAACAAAAAAAGACAGAAAAAAAACTGCCTTCATCACCAAGGCAAGACTTTATAAATTTAAAATCATGCTGATTCAGGGATTAATAAATCAAATCTTGGCAGAATACTTAGAGAATTTCATCATAGTATACATAGATGACATCGATATATACTTCAAGATATTCAAAGAACACCTGGTGCACTTACAAAAAATGTTCAAAAGGTTGGATAAAGCTGGGTTAAAGATCAATATAGAAAAATGCAAATTTTTCTAAACCAAAATCCAGTTTTAGGCTACATAGTTAGAAAAGAGTGAATTTGACCTAACAAATCCAAAATAGAAAAAGTAAAAACCTTCTTGATTCTAACAATAATGTTACAATTAAGGGCCTTTATAGGCTTGGCCTCTTATTATCAATAGTTTATCAAGAAAATCACCTCTATTGCCTAACCCCTGCATTGTTTACTCCAAAAGAATGTAAAATATAAATGGGGTGAAAAACAAAACAATGCATTCAAAATGCTAAAGAATTACTTAACTATCATCTGATATTGCAATACCTGAACTTCATCTAAATGTTCTACCTCTATACAGACATTTTGGAAACAGGATTAGGCACTGTATTAACCTAAAAATAAGGAAAAAAGGAGCATGTTATCTTCTATGCAAGCAGAAGTTTAATAGAAATTACTCCACTACTGAACAAGAATGCTTGGCAGTACTTGAGATAATCAAACATTATTACTACTACTTCAGGCTTATGTCATTCATAGTAGTGATAGACTATTTAGTGTTAAAGTGGCTTCAAACATCCAAGCTTAAAGAAAAAAAGGCAAGATAGATTTTTTGCCTTAAATTGTATAACTACATCATCAAACATTAGTCTGGAAGAATTCATAGCAATGCCAATGCTCTGGCCTAATGACCTTAATTAATGGAAGCTCCCATTAATGAAATAGATAATAATGGATTAGCTGCCCTAAAGTGGCTCAAAATGAAGACAGACTATGAATACCATCTCTCTTATAAAGAAGTAGAATTGTATTAGATGAATGTTGATGACCTGCAAGATAATGAGATGAGTTAAAATGAGTATGAAAATGACAATAAAATAGAATAGAATGATTATGAAAAAGAATCAAGAAATAATACTTATGATCATAAATATTTACACAACTATTATTTTGGAGTTAAAGAAGCCTAGTAGAATCTAAATAAGAAAGAATAATAAAGAATAAAAAAGAGAAAGTATATGGGCCTAATCAAATATATTCTTGCTAAATCCAAGAATAGTAAAAACTTTCATCTTAACAAAAATTGTTAAAGGCCCTTACAAAATAATAATCAAGACTGATGAATAATATTAACTTGTAGTTTTTCCTTTAACTACAGCAATAATAGAAGCTGTTTAACTATAGTATGACAACTATAACTTGACAGATTCTATACAAAGTCTATGCAAGACTTAACAATATACAGAGTGATTTGGAATTTTAAGACAGAGGCAACAATAAATAGTATATGAAGATACTAAATATTGCATTCAGTTTATTAACTATGAAATGTATGAAGACACTTCTTATTGAAGTGTATAGAGCCACTTATTTGAAGTCAAGAAGCACTTAACTTTCTTGAAGGGTCAGAAAGTAGTGCTTTTATAGATATTTTACATGTATAAATAATTACAATAAAGATTACTCTATTGCTAATAAATGCTATATATGGAGTATTAATATATATAAGAACTAATAGATATAATAGATATAAAAGATATAAAATATATAAAGATATTATAGATATGATAGAAATAATAGAAAAGATAGATCTAGTAAAAATAATAGAAATGATAGATTTCTGGCACAGTAATTTGAGCCAATCAGAATCAAGGCATGTGTTTAATAAAATGCTAATTTCACAAATCTTTGCTAATCTCAGGATCTAGTGATCAGAATCACATGTTCTTGTGCTCTTTAGAACTAGTTCAGTAAGATGAATCTAATGGTAGTTGTTTTATCCAAATTGGTCTGATACATCAAAAGTTATAGCCAAAAAGTGTAAAACTCTTAATGTTAATAATGGTAAAAGAATCATACATGATAAATGCTATTTCAAAATTATGACTGAGAAATAATTCTTGACTGCTACTGTAGATGACCACACTATGAGAAATGGATAATATGAAGAGAAGAAAGTTAAGACGTTCCTAACCACCCCATGTAATGAGATAGAACTCAGTAAACTAAGTAATAAGGAGCTTATTTAAAGCTCTATTCTGGATAATGAACAACTCAACCTGTATAATTATAAGAGATATGTTGGCAAATCTTTCAAAAAGGAAGTAAGGTATATAATAATTCTTGAATTGATAGCTCTAGAAACACATAATGTAAATGAAATCTCTATCTATGATGAGAAAGGTGATAACCTCTGTCCTATAGACAATATAAATTTATAAGCATAGTCAAAGTAAAATTTTTAGTAAGTAACTAAAAAATTCTGAAGAGTTTAGAAAAAATTATATATAAAATAAATTGCATTCTCTATCAAAAATCATATCTTTTATTTTAAAATTTTGTATAATTTAAAATTTTTTTCCACATTTATAGCATAATTGACCTCAATCATATTGTAAATTCCTAGACACCATATCGACACCTAAAAAAGTTTTGAGCATCATGTAACAAATATATTGAGCACTAAAAGTTTATATAATTTAACAAAAAAAATATAAACAAAAATTTAAAATAACAAACTAGATACTTGAAGTAATTAGAGATAAGCATAATGTATTTAATTATATTAATATATTATATTGTAGGACCCAAATTGACTCTGGCCATTTGGAGGTTTATTACTAAATTAGGTGGTTAGCAAAAGTGATGTGAGTTTTAGAGTTACCTTTTTAATATAGTTTGAGTTAGTGAGTTATATAGAATATCAAGAATGTAATTTAAGCAATATTAAGATCATATATTAAATTAACTCCACTTTAGCTAACTTCTAAATTAAGAAAGATTAATTGCATTTGTCACATGCAACTGATCAGTTACATCTAACAGATACTATAAATAGCAGTGATTGGTCAAAAAAGTTTTTTAGATAATATCAATAAAATATAATGCATAAGTTATATTAATAATATTAGTTTATATATTATAAGATGTAAATAAGTTTTGTAGTTATAAATAAGGACAAAAAGGGCCTTCAGAAGAGTAACTTTCTTTTGTAACTACTACATAAAGCATATACTTCATAATCACTTATAATAAATTACTTAACAAATAATAAAATGTATATTTTTATTTTTTTTTCCTCTTTCTGTATCCAGAAGGTTCTTAGACACCTTAGAGTTTTTTTTACTTTCTAAGGTCAGTGTTATTGTTACTACAAAGATTTATAAAATGGCAAAATGATTTTTGTATATCATTGATAGTAAGATAGCTTAAGTCTGTTATATGATGTTTTAGGGTTTTGGTTTTACAGTATAGAATCTATATTATCTAGATTTGCAGTTCTCTATCTTATATGCCTATTAGTTAGATTATTCTTTTAAACTAGGTTTACTCAATTTTAGTATTTTTTGTTAATAGGTTATGCCTTTTCTGACATTCCTAACCTTGTAGTTATGTTAATGAACAATATATATAAACTTTGTTCTTTCTTGATTTTTTAGTTATAACCTTATAGATCATTCAATTGTGATTCTAGCTAAGCCTTATATTTTAGTTGGATTTGAATCTATGATTTTGTGTCTGTAACTCTGAAATACTAAATACTGCATTATCAATCTAAAGGGCTATATATTTTTTATTAAAAGTAATTACTATAAAATAATCTGTCTCTAACTTGTAATTATATAAAATATACTAGTACACTTGCTTAATAATTAATCCAAAACTTTTTTTGTTAATAGAACCTAACTAACATCTTATTAAACACTTACTAAATCTAACACACCTCTTTGACCTAACATAAATCTTTTAAAATAGTTATATAAAAATTCTAAGTGTGGAGCAACTGGCTTGTTGTTTTATATTAATAAAATAATAAAAACTATAATTTTGAATAAATATTTATTCAAGTTAACAAATCTTGAATAAATAAATAAAATACATAACTATATAATATTGTTATACAAAATAAGAACCAGAGTATTGTATTTATTAAATATATATATTATTACTATTGAATTGTTTATTATATATCTAAATATTTAATAAATTAAATATATTTTTAGTTTTATATAAATCTATAGCACAATGTTTATATAAGATATAGTTGAAAATACATTGCATTTAAGGTTTAAAAGCACTATAAAATTAGATTGCATAAAACTTAAAAGTACAAAAATAATGCTATAAATTTGTAATAAGTAGAAATGTTATAGTTTATTCTAGTTTGATTTTAGTTATAAAGATTGGTTCTAGCAAAACCATAAACTAAACTGGTCTATTGGCTAGTTTTTAATGTCTACTATATATAAAATGCAAATTAATTAATTTTGGTATTGTCAAATAAAAAATTTGTTACAAAATTTATATAAATTAAATGTATTTTACTGTTCTGTACTATACATATTACCTAATAATATTATACTTAATTTGATACAAATTATCTAATATATACACTAGTTGAAATTAAAAATATTAGTATCTAATTTGTAATTTATAAGTTACTTAAAACTAGCTTATATTAGCTTATTAAAAATTATAAAATATAAATTTGTAAGTTACAATATCAAATTTTAATATTTTACTAATATTTTAATTTTAATTAGTAAACTTTAGCATTTACAACAAATTGTTAATTTAGAATTTTGACTAACTGAATTTCAAAATTAGATATAATAAAATAACTTTAAAGTTTAATTAAAAAACTGTATTTGTATTTTAATTAAAATATATAATAATAGATAATATATTATTTTAATTTTAACTCTAAATATAATACAGTTTTTTATACACAATTTTTTTATTTTGAAGACAAACCTCATTTTTTAATTATTATTTTACATATAATTTTAAACTTTGATTAGTCAAAATTAACAATCTTTTGAAGAAATATTATTAATATTAACTTTATATTGAATAATTAACTTTATTATATATTTATTTAAAGAATATTTAGATAAGTTTTATTAAATAAAAATATAGTATGCTCTTTATAAATTGATAACTTTAAATTCTAACTTAAAAAAGTATAAAATTTTTTTATTAAATATATTAAGCACTAATATTAACAAATCTTAGCTTTTTATTTGTTATAATAAATATTAATTTATATTATATAAATAAATTATAACTATTAGATAGATTAAAATATTTATAAATATTATATAAATATAATATATAATAATCAGAAAACTAGACTAAAAACGACACTTTGAACAACTAAGAAATAATTTTAAGAAGGAAAAAAGAAATAGACTTAGTTA